GCTCTGATCTTTATAATTTCCTCCCTTGTATGAGCTTTGGGTTTGTCCTGCTCTTCTTTTTCTAGAAGCTTGAGGTTTAGCATCAGGTTGTTTAATTGGGCTCACTCTGTTTTCCTAATATGCGTATTCACTGCTATGAATTTCCCTCATAAGACTGCTTTCATTGTGTTCCATAGATTTTGCTATGTTGTATTGTCATTGTCAGTTAATTGTAGGAACTGTCTGATTTCTTCTTTAATTTTCTCTATGACCCTTTGGTTATTCAGAAATGTGTTGTTCAATTTCCATGTGTTTATGAAATTCCTGTGGTTTCTTTTGGAATTGATCTCCGATTTCATCACACTATGGTCTGATAATATACAGGGGCTAACTTCAGTTCCTTTGCACTTAGTTAAACATGTTCTGTGAGCGAGTATGTGGTCTGTTTTGGAGAATGACTCATGTGCAGCTGAAAAGAATGTGTATTCTGATTTTGTGGGTTGGAACACTCTGTAACCACCTATTAAGTTCATTTGTTCAAGAGTTTGATTGAGTGCTAGTATATTGTTGCTTATTTTTTGTCGTTGATCTATCTATTTGTGACAGTGGGATACTGACGTCCCCCACTACTATTGTATTAGTGCTTATTTGATTTTTCGTGTCCATTAGTATTTGTTTTATATAGTTGTGCACACTGGTGTTTAGTACATATATATTTATGATTGTCATCTATTCCTCTTGGATTGTTCTTTTTACAAGGGTGTAGTATCCTTTTTGTTTCTCTTAATCAGTGTTCGTTTGAAATCCACTTGATCTGCAAAGAGGATAGCTACTACTGTTTTTTTTTGGGTTCCTTTTGCATGGAGTATTGTTTTGTACCCTTTAACTTTCAGCCTATGAGTTTCTTTTTGAATTAAGTGTGTTTCTTTTATGTAGCATATTGTTGAGTCTTGCTTCTTGACCCATTCTGCCAGTCTATTTCTTTTGATCGGTGAATTCAGACCATTAACATTGATAGTTTTGTCTGATATGTGTTGACTTATCATTGTCATGACTTTTTCTTTTTGTTGGATTCTCCCCCTTTATGTTTAATTTATTGTCATGCCCTGTGGATTCATTCTGCTGGGCTTCCTGGGGTTGTCATCTGCATTGTCTTTTCCTAGGATTTTGACCAAAATTTTTGGAGTGCTGGTTTGGTATTCATGAAGTTCCTAAGGTGCTCTTTGTCATGAAAGTATCATTTCTCCATCAATTTTGAAAGATAGTTTTCCACGGCACATCAATCTGGGTTGGATGCTGTTTTCCTTTAGGGTTGAATTTGTCCCTCCAAGCTCTTCTTGCCTTGA